AATTGTAGCTTTGGTCTTTTCACATAGTACCATATTTCTTGGAGACTTCGTTTGTTTCTTTTTGTTCCTTTTTCTCTAATCTTGTCTTCATGCCTTATTTCAGTAAGTTGATCTTCAATCTCTGATATTTCTTTTGCTTGATAGATTCAGCTATTGGTACTTATGTATGCTTCACAAAGTTCTTATGCTGTGTTTTTCAGCTCCATCAGGTCATTTATGTCCCTCTCTAAACTGGTTATTCTAGTTAGCAGTTCCTGTAATTTTTTTGTCAAGGTTCTTAGTTTCCTTTCATTGTGTTAGAACATGCTCCTTTAACTCCAAGGACTTTGTTATTACCCACCTTCTGAAGCCTACTTCTGTCAATTCATCAATCTCATTCTCTGTCCAGTTTTGTGCCCTTGCTAGAGAAAAGTTGTGATCATTTGGAGGATAAGAGGCTTTCTGGTTTTTGGAATTTTCAGTATTTTTGCGCTTTTTCCTCATCTTTGTGGATTTCTCTACCTTTGATCTTTGAGACTGATGACCTTCCGGTGGGGTTTTTGTGTGGGGCTCCTTTATGTTGATGTTGGTGCTTTCTGTTTGTTAGTTTTTTTCCTAACAGCCCCCTCTTCTGCAGGTCTGCTACAGTTTGCTGGAGGTCCACTCCAGACCCTGTTTGCCTGGTTATCACCAGTGGAGGCTGCAGAACAGCAAAGATAGCTGCCTGCTGCTTCCTCTGGAAACTTTGTTCGAGAGGGGCACCGGCATAATGCCAGCCAGAGCTCTTCTATATGAGGTGTGTCTATCCCTGTTGGGAGGTCTCTCCCAGTCAGGAGGCATGGGGGTCAGGAACTCACTTGAGGAGGAAGTCTGTCCCTTAGCAGAGCTGGTGCACTGTGCTGAGAGAATCCCTTCTGTCAGGACCAGCTGCTCTCTTCAGAGCCAGCAGGAAGGAATGATTAAATCTGCTGAAGCTGCACCCACAGCTGCCCTTTTCCCCACTTGCTCTGTCCCAGGGAGATGGAGGTTTTATCTGTAAGCCCCTGACTGGGCTGTTACCTTTCCTCCAGAGATGCCTTGCCCAGTGAAGAGGAATGTAGAGAAGCAGTCTGGCCACAGCTGCTTTGCCATGCCCAGCTCAGGCCTCCCAGCCTCCTTAGCACTGACAGGGGAAAACCACCTATTAAAGTGTCAGTAATTGCGGAACGCCCTCCCAACAGCAAGCTTAATCGTCCCAGGTTGACTTCAGATTGCTGTGCTGGCAGCGGGAATTTCAAACCAGTGGTTCTAAGCTTGCTGAGATCTGTGGGAGTGGGACCCACTGAGCAAGACCACTTGGCTCCCTGGCTTCAACCCCCTTTCCAGCGGAGTAAATGGTTCTGTCTCACTAGGGTTCCAGGTGCCACTGGGATATGAAAAAAACATTCCTGCAGCTAACTCGGTGTCTGCCCAAGCAACCACTCAGTTTTGTGCTTGAAACCCAGGGCCCTAGTGGTGTAAGCATATGAGGGAATCTCCTGATCTGCAGATTGCAAAAACCATGGGAAAACCTAGTATCCTGGCTGGGCAGTACCGTCCCTCACAGCTTCCTTTGGCTGGGGGAGGGAGGTCCTCCAGGTCCTTGCCCTTTCTGGGTGCAGTGACATCCCACCCTGCTTCTGCTTGCCCTCTGTGGGTTGGACCCACTGCCTAAACACCCCCAGTGAGATGAACTGGGTACCTCAGTTGGAAATGCAGAAATCAGCCGCCTTCTGCATTGGTCTTGCTGGAAGCTTCAGACCAGAGCTGTTCCTATTCGGCTATCTTGGCCCCCTTCAGAAACCTGTATTTAAGAATACTTGTCAGAGTCTTTTCCATGAATTTCCATAGAGAAGCAAATTTTGGTCTACAGCAGATTATCAATCTCTTTTTGAGATGAATCAAAAAGTAAAACAATAATTGTCTGTGGATAGCAAGAGTCTTAGAACAGCCATAAAGACACAATGGACAAGAAAATTTGATTATTTCTGTAATACACAAAAATTTAACATAATTGTAATTATTACTGATAATATGCATTAAGACACCAGAATTATAGGTATCTCATACAATGTTGGAAGACATATTAATAACACATTTATGTAAAATTTTCACAACCTCACCTCATTTGTGTAACCAACACCAGATCAGGAAATATACAAAACAGCCAGCATCCCAAACCAACAACAACAAAAACACCTGATTCAAAAATGAGCAAAGGACTTTTGCAGACATTTCTCTAAAGAAGATATACAAATGACCAATAAGCATTTGAACAGATGCTCTGTATCACTAATTATTAGGGAAATGCAAATCAAAACTACAGCATGATGCCACTTCACACTCAGGATGGCTACTACTAAACACACACACACACAGAAAATAACGAATCTTGTGAAGATGTAGATAAATTGGAAACTGTGCACTGTGCTGGGATGCAAAGTGGCATAGCTGCGAGGAAAACAGTATGGTGATTCCTTAAAACATTAAAAATAGAATTACCATATAATCCAGCAATTATACTTCTGGGTAGATACTCAAAAGGATTGAAAACAGTGTTTCAAAGAGATATTTGTACACTTTTGTTTATAGCAGTAGCTAAAACATGGAGATAATGCAATTATCCATCAGTGGATGAATGTATAAGTGAAACGTCATGTGTCTGCAGTGGACTATTACTCAGCCTGAGAAATTCTGTAATATGCTATGCTAAGTCTTGAGGATATTATGCTAAGTGAAATAAACCAGTCACAAAAAGGCAAATGCCTTATGAAAAAATTCCATTTATATAGAATCTATGTACTTAGTCAAAATAAAGACAAAAAATAAGATGCTGGTTATTAGGGACTGAGAGAGGGAGGGAATGGAGAGTTTGTGGTTGGCACAGGAGCCAGGCATCAGGAGCTCTGGGTTCTGGGACCTGCTCTGCTCAGACTGTTTGAGACCTCAAGACTCTTCCACTATCTGGACCTAGTTCCTTCGGGGAAATGCAGCCTGTTCCAGTATATGCAGCATTGCACAGAATCACTCCTGGGCTCTGGCCCCTTCATTTCGTCTTTACAAGAATAAAAATGAAAAACCAGCCAAGTGTGGTGATGCACATCTGCAGTCCCAGGTACTCGGAAGGCTGAGGCAGGAGGATAGCTTGAGCCCAGGAGGTCAAGCTTGCAGTGAGCCAAAATCATACCACTGCACGCCAGTGTGGGTGACAGAGTGAGACCCTGTCTCAAAAAAACAAAAATAAAAATAAATCACTATTGCAATCACAATTTTGTAGATGGCAGCATGAGTTATGACTCATCTCTGTGTGCTCAGGGTCTCAGGAGTTCCAAACCATGGTAGTGCAGCTATTCTGCTAAATCTCTCCAGGAATCGACCCCTGGGCCTCTGTTGAGGCACATGTCTCCACTGGGGAAGAAAACCTCCTCCTTAAGACTAAATGCTGAACGTGACAGGAACAGGGCTTGGATAAATTTATTGCACTTCACCTACTGGAGAACTTTTTGGGCAGCACAGCTGCTGTTGGCTGCAGCCTACCCGTGCCGCACAACTTACCTAAAAGAATCTGGCATCAAGGATAAATGCCATGTATCAAAGGAACCTCTGTGGATTTGGACATCACAATTTCCAGTCATACTTTCTGTCCTCCCTGTGGGGAGTGAAAGCAAAGAAAGAACTTGTGAGCTAGGTCAAAGCTTCATCCTTGGTAGGAAACTGGAAGGCCAGGTTAGAGTGTGTGTCCCGATTTCCCAGAACTGAGCTGGTGTTTCCAAGGGACAGGACGGCTGGTCAGCATAGTGGCTATGGGTGCCTGAGTGAGAGAGGTGGCAAGTGGTGAGGAGGTGGCTGCTAGAAGAATGAAGGGTTGGGACAGACAGCTGCTCATCACAATAATCTGGGAGTTTTCAAACTACTGATATTCACTCAGCCCCACAAGACAGTATCAAGAGCTGGGGAAGTGAGGTCCAAGAGGCAGTAACTTTGATGAAACTACCGATGGGTTTCATATGCAGCCGGAATGACAGCACATGGTAAGAACACCACCAGTGGCCATCAGCACCAGCGGCCAGCATGGGAGGGGTTCTCATGTGGGGCTTCTGCCTGGCCACCTGGTAAGATTCTCCAGGGCTGAGTGGTTTCAGAGGACCTAGTTGTTACCAATCATCCTGCATCTGTCCCTCCTGGCACATTAATGGTCACAGTCAGCATGCAGCACAAAGCCAGGTGGAGCTTTCAGGTAAGGAGGGTCATGGGCAGCCAGTAGCTCCGCCTTCATGTGCAGACACCCTGTGTTCTCAATGATCAACACACAGTAACCAGGGATATGAACACACTGTGGCATAAACCGTGTCCTGGTGTGAATATCCACAGACTCCAACATCCCTGCATGCACACAGGTGCACAACCCCTTCCAGCTCTCAACCACAGGTGCTGGGAATCTCAGGTAAAAATGAGGGCGGTTGGTACTGAGCTAAGGCAGAAATTCTCTATTGTCCTGGGTGTCCCAGACCAGAAGTAAAGGGAAACTTCAGCCTTTTGCCAGTGCCCCTTGCATATGGGGACTGCTCTTTAAGGGACTGCTGAGTGAAGGGCTCAGAGCCCCAATTGGAACTCAGAGGGCCAGCCAGGGCCCTGTCCCTACTCTCTGACAACCTCATTCCCAGCTCAGTCCTTAGCATCCCACCGAGGTGCCTCCATGGGGCTTCTGGGAGCAAGAATGAAATAGGATTTAATGGGTTTTATTCTAGGACCTTCCTGACGTTCTGGAGGGTCTCCGTGGAGAAGTGACTCCTAACATCTTTGAATTCTAAGACAGTCATTTTTGAGAGCTAGATAGGTACCATGACCTTGCCCAAGGCAAAGATGAATATACTTGCAGGAACTCAGTGGTCTCTGTGGAGCTCATCTATGGGCCTCACGTCAAGAAACTTCCAGAGACAGATCAGACTCTGAAGACTGCAGAGCTTTGCAGAGAACTCGATGGGTCCCTGAGGCCAGAAAGTGTCAGAGCCTGCGGAGGAAGCCTCCAGGCGCAGACCCAGCCTCTCTCTAGGCTCTTCCTTCCTGGGGGGCCCACAGGGCGGTGCCTTTCACAGGTAGCTGGAAGACCCAGGTGGGCGGTTCAATCTGTCACGTGGACACGCGGCTCAGCCAATCAGAATCCCCCGGCAGTTGATTCCTGGAGGCTGAATCAGTTGAACTGACGAAGCCCCAGTCTCAGGGTCAGGTGTCTCCGGGAGTCGGGACTCTTAGGTCTCCCTGGATAGTCAGGACTCTAGACTGAGCTGTCTTGGCCACTCGGGGCAGTTGGCAGTGTAATCATGGTCAGGAAGGTGACCCGTGGTCAGCAGGGTCAGGCCACCCAGGGAAAGTGTGTTCCTGCGCCAGGTCCTGGAGGGGACAGACCGGTGGGGACTCGGGGTCGGTGGGGGCGCCTCGGCGGATGGGGGTTCACCACCTGCCCGGTAAGAGGGGACTCGGTACAGGGACCGGGTCAGGGTGAGCGCCCGCTCCAGTCTCAGGCCGGGTCCCAGGCTGGACCCTTCCCTGTCCCTCAGGGCCGGCCTCCTTCGAGTTGGCTGGCAGCAGGCCAGGATGGGAAGGGGAAGTAGGAAGAGCTCGGGGCACAGGGATTGGGGCCAATCCTGGGGTCTGAGCTGTGAGGTAAGGAGAGGCTCACCTGTCCCCTGGAGAGTGAGGATATTACCTGCCCATGGCTGGAAGTCAGGATCTGAACCTTGACAGGTTACCCTAGGGCTGCCTGTCCTTCTCCTGGGCTGTCAGGGACCCCCCCACCCCCCACCGCCCCCGGCTCAGTTTTGTTTTTAAGGGACCAGAGACTGACATGCAACATAGAAAATGCTGTCACTTTCATCATTTCTTTCAAATGGAAGGAAAAATGGCACAATTGGGTTTCTGGTGGGAAGTGCTTCCCTCCAACTCCAGGAACTCCATTAAGGAGTTAAGAAAGCAGAGAGTCCTGTCAGCTGACAGAGATGCTCGGGGCAGTGGTGATCTGGGAGCCAACCTAGTCATGAAGAGCTCAAGCTCTACCCTCTGTGCAGGGAGATTCCTTTTGGAAAAAAATCTCTGGGCAGAGTGGGAGAGTATAGGGGCCAGTCACAAACAGGCTTGCTGCTAGAACCCCTTAGCCATGGGCAGGGTGGGCACAGTGGCCAAGGCCAGGAAACTTACAAGCCCACAAAAGAGTGTCAATTTCTTTCAGTCAGGAGAAAACAATTGAACTATATGATATTAATATACTTATCATTATACCAATGACTCATAAAATCAAACTTCAAACTTTCTAATGGAAAAAAAAACACACAGGCAATAATCCCCAGTGTCTATCAAGGTTGCAATGCAGCCCTAATGACCTGGCATCCTTGAAAGGGGCATGCGTTTGGCAGTGAGATACACACAGCAGCGTAGTCAGCTCTGTGGTGTATTCTCAGCTGGCCTCAGCAGCCCCGATACAGACACCCAGAAGGAGCACAGCCAGTTTATCCAGAGGTGGAGTTTTGCAGCAAGACAATTCCCAGAGGGAGTTCTCAACAAATGTCAGTCCCCAAAAAGGGAACTGGTTTTATTATGGTCATCAGGATATTCACTCACAGAGAACAGGACCTGACAAAGCAAAGAATAAGCACTAAGATTAGACTAAGTGTTTGGCAAATTTGGGATGAGAGGGAGGTGCAATGGGAAAGTGTTGAGTTGAAATCAAACTCGGATTAAATGTGCTCAGTTTTGCCCAGGATCATTCTTGGCCTCAGGACAAAGTGATCATGGGAAATAGGGGGGCCCCCAGGGCAAAAAGAGGAGTCCATCTTTTTCCTGCAGGACTATACCTGATCAAAAGAATCACTTGGGCACTCAGTTAACTGGAGGTGTTTGCTGAGCAGGTACACAACACATAAAGATACAAGCAGACATTCCACACAGACACACCCACATCAGACGCAACCTGCTCTCCTTTCCTCCATGCACCAAGAGGCACACATGACAGGGGTTCCGGTGGAGCACTTCCAGGAGGAGTGTTCTGGGGACCCTAATGTGAAGTAAGCGCCATGTCAAGGCACCCCCTTTCCTCAGCCAAAGTGAGCTCTTGGGAGCTGGACAATGGTGTGGGGGAGATTGTAGGGGATAGCAAACAGAGGAACTAGCCTGGAATTGTCTCAGAAAGACCAGGCCACTAAGAGTGCAGATGGAGACATGAGACATCTGAGGGAGGAAAGGGGACCCTCTCATGAAATTGGGATCCACGTAAACCTGCATCAAGCACGGTGGCAGTGTTCAATCAGAAATGCTGCCCATCAGGTTGGGCGTGCTGGCTCATGCCTGTAATCCAAGCACTTTGGAGGCCAAGGTGGTCGTATCATCTGAGGTCAGGAGTTCAAGACTTGCCTGATCAACATGGTGAAACCCCGTCTTAAAAGAAAGAAATGCTGCCCAGTACCCAAGTGGGGCACATACATTCTCAATACCTGGAAAATAGCTTCTGATTGGTGCCTCAAGAGAAGAGTAAGTAATGTCTCCTCCTTCTTTCCCTCTAGTAATCAACCCCTGACAGCCTTTGCATTGTCCATGATCTCAGCCTACCACCTCCTCCCCCTGAGGCTGGGCCATTGCAGTGGCTGACACTGAGGATGAAGACCAAGACATCACAGCCTTTCTCCAGCATCTCTCAGAACAGCACAGAGAAGGACACAGGTCTCAATCCACAACTGCTGGAGATGGACCCTGGCCGCATGGGATGGACAGACACACCTGCACCGCCCCCCCTTGCCCAGCTATCTCCAGGTGAAGATGCTCAGAAGAGGTTTGGGGTCCTGAAGGACATGTTGCTCCCATGGTCCTCATGGGCAGGCGATTTCTGCTACATGAGTCAATTCTGCCATATAAAATACTTAAGTTCAGCCATTCCAGGGTGCTGTAGGATGTACAGCTTCCCGTCCAGCCCAACTGAACTCCAGCCATGCCATTTAGATACCAAAAATAAGGTCACTTGCTTTCCTGCCCTTTAGGGGGCCAGAGCCAGGGAAGCAAAATGGCACTTCTGTTTACCTGTTATATTATTTTTTGTAATCCTCATATGTTTGAAAAAACAATTATATGAAAAAGTTCAGTAATTGCAAACATAAAAGCAGAAAGCCCTCAGGAACCAAGATTACTCTCTCAGGACTCGTTCTGCTTCACCTGGGACTCTGCTGCGCCCCAGGCATCATGTGGACAGAATCACAGAGGGACCATCAAGGAGTGCCTTCCCAAAGGACGGACCTCAAGTGACTGCTGTCCGAGCAAACGGTAATGGCCACTCTGCCGGGAGAGAGGAGTAAACAGAGGGCTGGCCCAGGAGACCTGCACACTGTGCTACCGATACTTGTCCGTCTTTAGCCTCTAATTTAAAAATGAGGAACACAGAGATAGAGAGTACCTTCAAGGGTTAGCATGGGCCGTAGAAATGCCCTGAGCCTTTCACTCTCTCCTTTTGCAAATTCCCATGTTTGGATAATGAAGGGAGCCTGAAGGAGGTAGATACACGAGCAGCCCCAACAGGGCTGGCTCCATCTTCCAAAAATGGGGACCCATGTCCAGTGTGTGGCTTTACTGATTCAGTGTCCAATTGACAGGGAGATACTGAGTGTCCAGATGCCCAGTGCCTCCTACCTGGAACAGAGCAGGTCCGGGCTCTCCCTTGGAAAAATCCCATGCAAACTTGGTTATTCAGGGAGTTTCTTCAGCAGAGCTCGCCTCTGTGGCCAACCTGGTCTTGCTGCTCATATTTGCCAGAAAAGCCTGGACTTGGAGAGAAACCTGTGATGTGGACTCAGTCCTTGCCAGCCTGGCTGGTTTCATTTCCTTAGTTCTCTCTGCGAAAGCCTATGCTCCTGAGAAGCGACTCAGAGGGGGCATCTGAGCACAGGGTGGGGAGCCTCGGATGGGAAGACATCAAAGGAACCAGAATGTATCAGAGAATATGGAGTCAGGTGCCTGAGCTCAAAGGCCCACCTGGCCACAGGCTGGCTGTGTGATCTTGGGCAAGTTCAGCCAGCTTCTTTGTGCCTCTTTTCTCTCCTTAATAAGATAAATGGCTTCACTAATATGCTGAAGGCTGCCATTAAGTTCTATGTGCCAAGATCCAAGGGACACCCTGGGCCTCTCGGTGAGCACTACTCCTTACAGTTTACTTCCAGGAGCAACATTGGGAGAGAACTCCTCAGAGCCTTGGCAGTCCTTTTCCTCCTGGTCCCTCTGTTTTGAGGGTGGAATGAGGTGAAGAGCAAGTGCTTTCCCAGCTGGTCAGGTGCTCTGGACATGTTCTAATCCCCCAAGAGTGTACAGATCAGAGTTCGATATGGCCGATGGGTCCAATGCCCAAGTGAGAATCTCTTGATGAAGTTATTGGTGTGGGGTTTTGCTTTGGTTCTTAATTATAGAGAACAAAAGTATTGAAATTATTACATTTACCCTAAAGTTGTAAGCAAGTGATGGTTAACTAAGGAAGGAGACCCATCCTCGAACACAAGTTCCATTCTTACCTATCTCATTTAAAAGAGAGAAAGGCCTCGCAGATGGAAGATGATGGGAGTAGACGGGGATTCAGCCAATTTCAGTGTTTGGCCCCAGGAAGTGAATTTGGGTTTGAGGACCTCTCTCTGGAAAGGTTTTATGACCAGATCTTCCTGGAGATGACATAAGTTTTTCTCACCACATATTTATTTTGCTGGGGTTCATCTTCTGCCTCCTTTTCTCTTTAACTCCAGCTGACTTTGGACTCAGTGCAGGTTGCTCACAGGGTCCTGCAAAGCAACTGTCTTCCCAGATCTCACCCACCTCTGAGCTCCTGCTGTATTCCTCTTTCTCATTTTTTTCTGAGCTGAAACCTACTACTTTGGATGATGCATGCTGGTGTTTTCAAAAGGGCCTTGTTTCAAACATGGAGAGCCCACGTCTGTGTCTTTAAAAAGCTGATTGATTGTGTCTTTAATAATCTGATAATAATTTAGCTTCTTCTTGAATTTTGTGGCATATTTTTAGGCTTCTGCTAAACCCATTTTTGAGGGCCATGACATTGTTCATGGATGGAGTTGTGTCAGTAGAGACAAAATGCTATCGTGGAGGCTCCCGTAAAACTTCAACCAAATCTGGTCCAGGTCTTAGGCTCTGACAGGTTCTGCTGTCATCGGATCTCAGTGAGACCTTTGTCCCCATTTCCTCCCTTTGTGATTCCTCCACGGACATCTCCCTCCATCTGTTTGAGAATTTCTCAGCGATATTCCTTGCTTGCTTTCTCTCACTCCATCTCATTTCCTGCTGTTCACTCGGGAATAAAGAAATGTCCCACACTTGAAAGAGCAAAAACAAAAATTGGAGCTCAGAGAGGGTGGACTTGTCAAGATCACACAGAGTTGGGAGTGTGGTAAGCCCTTGAAATGGGGGCTCAGTGACACTGCTGCCTCCCAGGGATTCCTAACATCTGAGGGTCCCAGTGAGCTGGGATGAACTCAGGACCCAAGAAGCACTGTTTGACCCTGTCACCTCCAAACCCCACCCAGTGCACATGGCCTGAGGCTTCCATGATGGTAAAGAAACCTCACCTGCCTTCTTTCCCATTATTGCTGTGTCCCCTCTGCTATTCAGTGCGAAATGTCCAGACGTGATCAATAGAATCAGAGAAAAATTGAGCCCTGAGGAGAGGGGGCCAGACTCTGGGAGTTGAGAGATTGAAGTCAGACGAGGGGCTGTTGAGCAATGAGATCAGAGCCTTCAAATGTTGGGAGCTTGGCAGCAGTGCCCAGGGGAATGGGGGGGGTGGTATTTGGGTCCAAGTTTATGTTGGGAAGAATATAAGCTTGATTTGGAGACTCCTGATGTTCATGTGTCCCCATCAAGCAGAGTTAGGAGTTGCCAGAGGAAAGATTGGTGCTAGAAGTTCATGTGCGAACAGGGCAGACCCCTGCACGAAGGTGGGCTCTCTCTGTTTGAAACAAGGCCCGCACACTGTGGCAGGGACACTCCCAAGGAAATCAGACATGTATTTCATCAGGGCTTTAACGCAACATATGAACGAGAATCTCATTTACTCTGTTATGAGATGCTATACACCTGGAATAGTTTAACTGGCAAATTATTACCAAATCGTTCAAAAAATTGCCAATGCAGCAATCATACAAGGCTCAGGTAACAGAGTGGGTGGCCATCACTCTGGGAGAGGGACATAGCACCAGAGAAGGTCCTTGTGACTCAGATCAAAGAGAACAAATGGCAAAGAAGGGGAACAGTTGCTGTTTTCTGAAGTAAAGCCTCTTAGGTGTTATATGACCGTTTGTTACCTGTGAATGTGTAACTTTGATTTTTAAAATAAATTAAAAAGAGCCTCTTAACACCACCCAATTTCTGAGCCCCAAAGATGGTGTTCTGGTGTCTTGCAGGAGGTTCTGGTCCCATCCGCCTGCTCCCTTCTAGGACAACCCCACCAGCAAGGAGGTCTTCTAGTTCTTTCTGTGTGTGTTCACCTGCTACTCCTGGCTGGGGCCCTAGGTTGCCCAGGAATCTCTGAGTTCTCTCAGCTGCACTTCCATCTGTGGTGCCCAACCTCAGTGCCTAGGACTCTGTGTACCTGACTTCCTCCAGGCAGGGCTGCTACCCCCAGGTGTCCACCTGGTACGGGCCTCCCATGGCAGCTCTCCTCTGATGACCAGGTGTGAAGGGGATGCTAAGGCCAACTTGCTGCTGGCACACCCGGACCTTCTTTGCTGGCTGTTTCAAAGACCCCCTAAAGGCTCCATGGATTTTCCTTAGAATATAGTCCTGAACAGTCCCACCCATCCTCTTCCTCCCTCTTTCCCACTAGGGCTGATACTTGCTTTAAGGTCTGATGGCTCACCCAGTCCTTCATAATTTTCACAATGTTCCTTTCTAAAACGCTTGCAGGCTAATCTGCTCTTGGCAACTGCTCCTCAGAGGAGGTGAATAACAGACTCCAGCCCTTCTTCTCTCAGGCCCTGCTGCCCCTGTGGTGAGGTTGCCTGTTACAGACCATAGAGCCAGCCTGACCTTGCCCAAAGGATACATGACTTCTTAGCAAGGCTGGGCCCTGCTAAGGGCTGTGTTTTGTGCACGTTCCTGCTAGTCACATCCAGCAGAGCTGGTCTACCACTCGGATGGCAACAGTAGATTGGGGACCACTGTTGTCATGGCAGGAGTGGACCAGGTGGCCGTCCTGTCTTCAGTCATCATGGAAACCCCAGCTATGCAGCACTAGCAGGTGTTTTAGATGTGCAGGCTGCTGGGCTGGCCTCTACTGCCTTCTGGCATCATGTTGGCAGCAGCTGTCTCAGGAAGGCACCCTGACTCTGGGTTCAAGAGCTTGCTGGGCTTCTACATGAAGGTGTGAAGTGCGAATGTCACCTTTTCTGACTTAACATTTTTGTTTTCTGCTACAAACTTGGGATATTTTCTGAGGGATGCTGAAGAGATGGGGGTAGGTCGGGGAGGGAGGCAGGAATTAGAAGGTGTCCTCCTGGGGCTACCCTTCGGCCTGGGGCATCTGATGGATGAGGAGGGGAGAATCATTGAAATCCTGTTTATGAGGGCACCACAATGACCTCATGTTTTTGCAAATTCTAGTGGAGAGGCTTCACTAGGTTGGGGGAGAAGCCTAAGAATTAAGTCCCTGTCTCCTGCCACAGTTGACAGCAGTGAGGCTCCCTGGCTGAGCGTACACCCCCAGGTGGAGCACAAACAGCTTTTAACAACGGCACCGTCATTAGCACCAATGGCATTGAGAGGAGGTGGCGCTGACACCCTGAGCAGGTGGCTGCCTTACTGCTCCCCGGAGAGCTTTGGCTCCATCACTGGTGCCCACCTCAGGAATTCCCAGGAACTACTCTTCACTGGTACACTCGGATGCCCACCCTGCAAGGCCAGTTTGTCCCCTTCCTGTACCTCTGCAATCACTTTGAGGCAGGAGGAGAGGGAATTAGAGTAACCAATGGTTAAGACGTAAGCGAAAGAACAGCAGGTGCAGCCAGTGCTAGACAACATGTAGGCCACATCCTGACTCCTATTATAGCAAGACAGACGTTTCCACTTCAGTCTCCCGACTCATTGCGGGCCAGGCCCTCCTAGGGTGTTACCAGCTGGAGGCCTCTCAAGGGCACCCCGGGGTGTTAAATTGTTTTATTAATAACTTAATAAAACCCCCAAAGAACATTGTGATCAGGGCTTTTGAGCCCTTTGCTTGAGCCCACCTCCACTCTGTGGACTGTACTTCGGCTTCAGTGTGAGCTTCCGCTGCCTCATTCTGCTGCTGCGTTGTTTGTGCACAAGCAGTGTGTGCTTCTGTTGCTTCTTTCATTGCTTTGTTCTTTTGTTGCTTTGCTTACGTGTTTTGTTCCATTCTTTGTTCAATGCCCCGTGAACCTGGACAACTCAGAGTCAAGACTCTTTCCCTCATGACACTTTGTTATCCGAGCATCTGCAAATCCATCTGTCTTCTGCATGTGCCTTTCAATGTGACAAATCTATAGACCTCGAAGGAGAAAAACCAGGGTAAGACTCCATTCCTTAATGAGCTCACAGTTCACTGGCTGAGACAGAAGGAAGCCACTGACTCTGAAAGGAAACCGAGTGCAGCAAAGAAGGGGTAGAGGGGCAAGCACAGATGGGATCAAGAGAAGGGGGAGACAAACCATTGTCATTAGTGTACCCTTTCTGGGAAGCAACGTGTGCGATGAGCTTTGAAGAAGAAATGAGTAAGCTGGGCGTCGTGGCTCACTCCTGTAATTCCAGCATTTCTGGGAGGCCAAAGCAGGTGGACAGCTTGAGTCCAGGAATTTGAGACCAGCCTGGACAACATGGTGAAACTCCGTCTGTACTGAAAATGCAACAAGTTAGCCAGGTGTGGTGGCACGCATGTGTGGTTCCAGCTACTCAGGAGGCTGAGGTGGGAGAATCACCTGAGCCTGGGAGGTCAAGGCTGCAGTGAGCTGAGATCACGACATTGCACTCCAGCCTGGGTAACTGGAGTGAGACCCTGTCTCAAAAAAACATACAGACATACATAACATATGGGGAAGAGACTTCCAGAGCGGTATGGAGAGGCCAATGCCCCTCCTCCTCCCTGTTGCCCCTCCTCCTGGAGCTGTTCGCTTCTCCCCTCTCTCCGTGCTTGGGACAGCCACAGCAACTCTCCAAATCATGAAACTCAAAATGCCACTTCTAAAAAACATCAGGGTTGGTGCCTCCGCTTCTTCTGACTCGACCTCCCTTCTCTGTCCAATGCAGTTCTTTCCACTCATCCAACCTCCACACTCCCTTGACAGAAGAAAAACCTGCATCTCTGAAACCCATGTCTGCTTGCGTATGACCTACTTTGTGAGTCAACAAGGTGAACCTATTCCTCATATTTCATTATCCAATGATTAAAAAGTCTAAAACAGACTCTGCCCCTGAGAAAGTAATTTCATGCACCTACAAAGAGAAAGGAAAGGACATTCACCGTTTGACGACTGAGTTTCCATCTGCACCCTTCAGCACTTACTAGAACTCATTCAAAACAGTGTAACAACTCTTATTCCTATCAAACAAAATAGAACTTTTTTCCTTGTATCTAAAGAAGTTTGCACCTTTGACACAGAATAAGGAGATCTACTGTTCCAACAGTTACTGTGTATATCACCGACCATATTAGTCACGCCTCGAAATCCATCACAGATCCACCAAATATTCTGTCGCCTGAAGACAGAATTATAAAATTAAACTCCAACAACATGTATATACAACAAATGAATGGAGAGAAAAAGAAAAATGGTGAGCATATAATATTATGTGTACATATTACAAGGAAAAATATGCAAAACTACTACCATACTTGTTTCTGTAATTTGCCATGAGGCTGTGACACCTTTCAAAATATATAAATTTTTTTTAACATTTAAAAAAATTATTTTAAAAATATATTGTTTTCACTACACTTCTTTCATTTTGCGGAATCAGGCCATGATGGTACAATGGTTTTCTTGTTCTATTACCCAGTCCATATTTTCCCTGTCCTCACTCAGAACCTCAATTTGTCTCAGGTCTTTATCTAATACGAGTGACCTAAAGCACCAAAGTCCAGTCCTGAAGACAGGATTTTCTGGGGCCTATACAGGGTTTGAGCAACCGAGGCCTGCTGAGTGAGCCCTTTCTAGGCACCGAGGGAAATGCCTTCAGGCTAAGGAGGAGGGAAAAATCTAACCAAAGATTCAAACCATAGGATGCTGTGGGCATGGCTCCAATGCCAGGTGATTCCCGAAGAGGAGATACTGCTAAGGTCCCATGAGGGAAATTCTTTTGTTATCGGGCCACAAGAGAGCAAACACAAGTTCTGAACAGCATCAGGAGAAGATGCCTGAGCAGCTTTGCTGCCGACTGTGAAGAAAGTGGAGGACCAGAAAGGCCTCAGTCTCCATGCTGAAGTCTGTGCTGTGAGGACAGGGGTGTGTCTAATGCACCAAACTCCACCTTCTACCCTGACCTCAAGCTCTTCAAGAATAACTGCATCGGGGCAGAGGCTGAGGAACTTCTGTCCATAATAAAACCCAAGGCCTTTTATGCCCTGCAAGGTGTGTTAGGGACTTGACGCCAACCAAGTTTGCCAAACATTTCAATTCTTCTGTATACAGGAGCACAAGTCATAGAGGTACCAAGAAATGCCCATGCCCATTTTGAAAAGCTACTTTAAGTGGATTTGGAAGTAACTCTGGACAGTGGGCTGATGTATCTTTGTGGGCGGGCCCTTTGGTGCCAATACACACTGGAGTGGCTGCAATAATTCTGAATGTACTGTGGGAATAGATGTAGGGTGTGTATGCAATACTATGTTTAACTGTAAAGGACATTCCCTGTAAGAAAATACCCAAAGTAGAACAATGAAGAGGCACAAGTACATAAGCAGGAGTGACAGCACGTGTTGTTCCATGCCGACATCCCTATCCTGGGGTAGGTCAGAAATGAGAACCCTAACAAAGTGGGTACTGTCTGACGAGCATCCACTACTAATGGAAGTGTCACCTCCGGGAAAGAAGCAAACTAGACATGAATGGCATCTCACAGCTACATGGAAAGGTGCCTAATCACCTTCCCAATGTGGCTGTCTCAGACACGGGATCTGTGCCAGCAACTTGGACTTCTTGGGGACTGTGGTGCACTGAAGTTTTGGAGGATCCTGGGCTGGGTTCACAGATGGGTCAGCTAAGTTCAAGGCCAGTGGGGGATATTGTGCTGCTGCTGTGGGTACCCAAAGGAAATTGCTCGAAACTGCATGGAAAAGGGAACTCTGATCAGTGGGCGGAGTTGCAGGCCAACACTTGCCCTAGAAACACGCCCCAGAAATGCACCTTGTTACAGGTCACCGACTCGGGGGCAGTCAACAGTGGAATTGGCAGTGTGGTCTGGTGCTGGTGATGAGACGACTGGATGATCACGTTGAAGCTTCTATGAGGACAAATGTTCTGGTGCAGATTGCACAAGATCCTAACCCCTGGTTTGTGACTCATGTGGATGCCAGGAAAAAAGGACATCCCTTCAATAATAGACATCCCTGAAATCCACAAGCCAATAAGGAGACCTGTACTGCCCTGGTGCCAGGAGCCATGAAAAGATGGAATGGGCTGCCCATAAGGAGAAACGGAGAGAGGTAACAGTGAAGGCTGTGCACCGAGGAAAGCATACTCATCATGAAGGCACTTTGGGCCCTAAATGTGGCAATTCCCTGAAGTGGTACCTTCTGTTATATTTAAATAGAATGTTGGACAGGTTGGTGAGCAGAGGAGGCCCAGACAGCCTATAAAATTCCTAAACCACATAAGTAACACTTCTTGCACTATCTCCTATGTGTACTTCTGAGCTGCTGGAATTTCAGAGTAGCAAAAATGAGCCAGAGAATAGGTGACTCGAATATGGTACATCTTTTGCTGTCTGGCTATGCTTACTGAATTTAGGCAGTTGTGGACGTTGTTGACAATGCTCATAAATACGAGGCGACAATTCCTAAGGTAGTCCTGGTGGCCCACAGTGCATCAGTGGGTGAAAGAGGGTTTTTAGGGTGCTCCACAGTGTATAAGGAAGAAATTCCTGAGTCACTTAGGAGTGAGTCGGAATGCGGTATTGTCTAGACGTGGAAAGAACTGCAAACACAGTGAAGTGACTGCTTCAAGGACCAGTCATACTCAGCACTTGGCTGTGGAAAAACAAGAGTAACCCCGGCTGGTGTGAGGAGAGAGCCTCTTGGGCCCTGGGTGTCAGCGGTAGAGGGAGCTGTCTGCAGGCCATCTGGACAATTTATCTCAGAGTGCCACCACCACCCTCCACTGCTGGCCAGCATAGAATCTTCATCAGAAACCTCCTGATAGCCCTTGACACCAGGAAGTAGCTTCCAGTGAAATGAAAGAACAAGATGAACTTTGCAGACACTCATATTGTTAGGCTTTTTAATATGCTTGTCACTGACTGTTCTAAACTCTATAGCATGAGTGACAATGGGCAGACATATTGCCCTGGACTTCCTGCTGGCCAGTCAGGGAGGTGTGGGAAGTGTGTGGTTGGTAACGCCTCATGCTGCACCTGGGTTAATGACACAATTCACTGGCTTAACTCCAGATGTGGCACCCAGCTGTGGTCTGATCGAACTAATGGGAGTAATAGCGTGATCACTTCATCTAATGTCGCCCTAGACAAACAGAACAAATTTGGTCTGATACCTTTACAGTTACTTACAGAATATAATGATGGCGGCCTATGCTACCAAGAATTCTTCACTGGATATGTGAACGGTCAGGAGGTGGGGCATGAAGTTGTAGTGGAATGCCTCCACCCTGCCCCCTGACGACCTTGCACATATCCACACAGCCTTCCAGGCAAAGGTATGAGTCACAGGTAATCTGACTCTTGGCAGAACACCTTGTTATCCTCCAGGAACATAAGAGGAAGAGTCCTATGAGGAGCTGCTGTAAGGCCATTTTCCACTCCTGTATATCTGCTAAAAGGCTGCTATTGCCTCTGGGTTCTGATGAAGTATGAGGCTTTCTGCCCCACCCTCCTCAGAATAGAGCTGCAGAATATAAAACTGGTTAGCTGCAGTCTAGAACTGGATCCTCAGCAGTGGGTACCCCCAACTTGTCTTGCGGTCATCTGGCTCTTTTCATTTCAGTTTCATGTGTGTGTATGTGGGTGTGTGTAGGGGTGTGGTTAAGGGACAAGAGCCACAGGGAGCTGTCACCTTTGGCTCTTCTTCCTTTCAGTGTCTATGCACATGCTAAACAGCAAATCAACTACAGCTTTTTCTTCTTAACTGGTCAAATCCGTCATGCTTTGCCCTTTTTTGTACACTTGACAAGTTAAAGTTCTTGCACCTTCCCCTCCCTACCAAGAATAAACCAGAAGCGAAGAAACTGTATCAGTGAATGCCACAATCAAAGACTCAAAAGAGGGGGCAATACCTATCACATCCCCATTTAATGTACCAGTTTGGCTTGTTTAGGAGTCAAATGAATTTTGGAGCGAGGCTGTGGGTTTTCACGAAGTAAATCAGGTAGACACTCTCATTGCAATTGCAGGCTCAGATCTAACAGCTTTCCTGGAGCAAATCAACACAGCCCTTGAAAGCTGGCATGCAGCTACTGACCCAGCTAAAGCTGGTTTTCTTCATACCAACTTTCTAGGACCACCAGAAATAGTTTGCTGTTACCTGGTAGTGCTAACAGTATACCTTCACAGCATTGCCACAGGGTAGCTCCATTCTGTTCTCTGCCATGACATGATCTGTAGAAATACTGAGTGTCTTGACATTCCACAAAACATAATACTGGTCCACGTTGATGGCATTATGCTGATCGGATTTGATGAGCAGGAAATTACAAGTATTTTAGATGTCTTAATAAGACATATGTGAACCACATTGAGGGAGGTAATACCCACACGGAATTCAGAGGCTGGTCACCTCGGTGAAGGTTCGGGATTCAATAGTCTGGAGCACATAGAAATATCTCCTCCAAGGCAAAAGACCAACTTCTGCATTTTGTACTACCTACCACAAAGAGGCACAACTGTTGAGAAGCCTTTGGGATTTTAGAGGCAACATGTATCACCTTTGTGAATCTACAGGGATACTTGTAAGGCTCCCAGTTTCACGTGGGACCTGGGACAGAGAAACCTCTGCTGTCAATTCAGGCTATATAGTACAAGCTGCTCCATCATTGGTCCTTCTGACTCAACAGACCCAGTGATACTTTAAGTGTGGCAAAGAGTTGATGTATGGAGCTTCTCACAAGTATGAATAGGAAAATGGCGCCTGTAGAATTTTTGAATAAAATCCATGTCTTCTTCTACAGATAACTATTCTCTTTTTGAAAACAGTTTCTGTGTTGCTACCACGCCTTGGTAGATACTGAGTGGCTAATGCTGCCCATCACAAACTCACCTTGCCAACAGGCCAGGCATGTGCAATCATCAAATGGACATGGTATATAAGAGATCAAGTTTGAGTAGGTCTGGAAGATATGAGTAGATTTCATGAACAGGCACTTCAGACTCCTTTGACACAAACTCCTATTGCATTGTGTCTGACCTTCCCCGTGCCTGTGACCTCATGAAGTGCTCCTTATGACTAGTTTACTGCGGAAAACACTTGGACCTGGTTACAGCTGAACCTGTGCAATAAGCTGGTCATACACAAAAATGAACAGTCTCAGCATTACAGGGTGATCCAGAAGAACGATGGAGTTGCCTTCCTTGCCTGTAATTGCACTCCAGCCTGGGTAACGAGAGCAAGACTGTCTCAGGGAAAAAAAAAAAAAAAAGGTAACCCAAATGCGCTGGATATGACCAGCAGGAGCATGGAGAAACGCAGTTATTAGCGGGGTCAGGGCTTGTGAAGCAGCAGCCTGCGGTGTGGACAAGATCAGGCTGGCTCTGTGGTCACCCACAGTCAAAACCACCCAGGGGCTGCAAGGACGGGGAGAAGGGTTGGAGTCTGTTATCCAGCTCCTCTGAGAAGCAGACACCAAGACGGGATTAAATTGCAAGGGTTTAGTGGGGAACATACCTTTGTGAAAAGAGTTACAAAAGACTGGGAGAGCCACCAGACCATGAAGCAAGTCTCACTGCCAATGTGAGGGATAGAGGGGAAGAGGCGGGGTTGGAGCGCTCTCGACTGCAGTTCAGAGGAAAATCCACAGAGCCTTTACTGTCTTTGAAACAGTCAGCAAAGAAGGCCTGCATATCCCAGCAACCAGCCTGGCCTCAGCACCCCCACTGCACTTGGTCATTAGAGGAGAGCTGCTGCAGGAGGCCTGGCGTGACTCACTACAATGTGGATACCTGCGAGGAGCCACGCTCCCTCCAGGAGGTCAGCCTCAGGGTCCTGGGCACTGAGGTTGGGGACCATGGATGGAAGCGTAGCTGAGAAAACCCAGAGGTTCCTACACCCCAGAAGCCCATGCCAGGACCAGGAAGAGAACACTCACAGAAAGAACTAGAAGACCTCCTTGCTGGTGGGGTTGTCTTAGAAGGGAGGAGGTCAGTGGGACTGGAACCTCCTCCAAGACACCAGAACACCATCTGTGGAGCTCAGAGATGGGTGGTATCAGGAAAGAGGCTGTTTTCTATTTACTTTTTAAATCAAAGTTATATATTCACAGGGAACAAACAAGTGGTTAAAAAACACCTTGGCCGGGCGCGGTGGCTCACGCCTATAATCCCAGCACTTTGGGAGGCCGAGGCGGGTGGATCACCTGGGGTCAGGAGTTCAAGACCAGCCTGGCCAACATGGTGAAATCACATCTCTACTAAAAATATAAAAATTAGCTGGGCGTGGTGGCACGTGCCTATAATCCAAGCTACTCGGGAGGTTGAGACAGGAGAATCACTTGAACCTGGAAGGCAGGGGTTGCAGTGAGCTGAGATCGTGCCACTGCACTCCAGTCTGGGTGACAAGAATGAAACTCCATCTCAAAAAAACAAACAAAAATACCTAAGAGTCTTTGCTCAGAACACAGCAACTCTGTCCCCTTTTCCTGTCTCTGAGCTGAGTCGCAGAGCTTCTCCTGTGCTGTCTCCTTCTCCCAGGTGACAGTGACCCCCTCTGTTCCCTGAGCCCTCACGGCTATGCAGGATTGCTGCCTTGGTAATTTGTCACAACAATTGGGTGATACTTTGACTCTTAACTTAGTTTTCCACATGTGTAGCATCTCACAGAAGATTAAATGAGATTTTAACTCATGGGGCTGATTTTCTCCAGAATTGGTATTTATGTTAAAACCCTGATAAAACACATGTTTGAGCTCCTTGGTGCTGTCCCACCTCAGTGTTAGGGCCTCTATTCAAATACCTGCAGTGCCTGGGAGACCCCACATTTATCCAAGTGTCTGCCCTGTTCTCAGATGAGCGTGTAGCACCAATCTTCCCTCCAATGGCTCCCAGCTTTACTTGTTGGGGACATAGGAATCTCCAAACCATGCTTATATTCTTCCCAACATAAACTTGGACCTCAGTCCCCCAACTTCACACTGCTGTTGAGTGTCGAGCTCCTCTTTTTTTTTTTTTTTTTTTGAGATGGATTCTCACTCTGTTGCCCAGGCTGGAGTGCAGGGGTATGATCTCAGCTCACTGCAACCTCTGCCTGCTGGGTTTAAGCAATTCTCCTGCCTCAGCCTCCTGAATAGCTGGGACTACAGGCGCATACCACCACAGCAGGCTAGTTTTTTGTATTTTAGTAGAGATGGGGTTTCACTGTGTTGCCCAGGCTGGTCTTGAACTCCTGAGATCAGGCAATCCACCTGCCTCAGCCAGTTTGAAGCCCCTGCATTCAGAGCTGCAGTCCCTAGTTTGACTCCAGTCCCTCTCCTCCCAGAGTCTGGTCCTCCCCTCAGGGCTCCATTTCCCTTTGATTCTATCAACCACATCTGCACAGTTAGCAAGAATAAGACAAGAGGGGATTCAGCAGTAACGGAAGAGGCAGCAGGGGAGGTTGATTTATGTGGGAAGTAGAAAAGTTCCTTTTTAAAGTTTCCTTTCTTGTTAAAGAATAAGTGTGCTAATAACTTTATTAAGCCCTATCCTATGTAGCTGTTAGACATACCATGCTTACAGACACATAGTACATTCTATGTCCTTGTACTTTACAAGATATCTGTGCTGGACATGCTCACAGGCATGTCCCAGTTCTCCACTGCTTTTACCTGTTTAAAAAAGGTTTAAGTTATTAGCCAATTGGGTTTTAGTTTAGATTATTAGTCTGGCTCCAGCCAGTGGAGATCAGACACAGCAGTAAGGACAACCCCAAATCCATAAGGGATCAATTTGTCTGTTTTCCTTTGTTCATTGTACTCCCCTTCCTGCAGTCCAGAAAGTAGAATTTGCATTGCTGAAAGATCCTTTGTCTCAGTGCTGATTTTTCTTTGCAGCACCGAGCATCTATTTCCAACACTTTATCATCACTGTGGAAGCCTCAGGCCGTGTGCACTGGGTATGGTTTTGGAAGTGGTGGAGCCAGACAGCCATTCTTGGGCTCTGGGTTCACCCCAGCTCGTTGGGACTCTTGGACATTAGGAATCCCTAGAAGACAGCCTAGTCATTGAGATGGAGTTTCAAGAGCTTACCACACTCCCAGCTTTGTGTGATCTTGACAAGTCCACCCTCTCTGATCTCCAGTTTTTTTTTAATCTCTAAAGTGTGGGGCATTTCTTTATTCCATAAGGAAGAACAACAGGCAGTTTTGATGGAGTGAGAGATTGGCTGGAGGTGGAAGAAGACAAGGAATATTGCTGAAATGGTTTTCAAATTGATGGAGGGGGATGTCCATGGATGAATCACAAAGGAAGGGAATGGGTGCAGAGGCCTCACTGAGATCCAGTGACAGCAGGAGCTGCCAGGATCCGAGCTGGACCAGATTTGACTGAAGTTTAGGGGAGCCTACATGACGGCATTTTCCATTGGCATAACTCCGTACATGGACAACAGCAAGGGACTCAAAATTAGTTTGGCAGAAGTTCAAAATTATGCTACAAAACTCAAGAAGTGGCTAAAATATCAAATATCCTTTTTTTTGAGATGGAGTCTTGCTCTGTCACCCAGGCTGGAGTACTGTGGTGTGATCTCAGCTCACTGCAACCTTGGCCTCCCGAGTTCAAGCGATTCTCCTGCCTTAGCCTCCCAAGTAGCTGGAATTACAGGCACCTGCCACCATGCCCAGCTAATTTTTGCTTTTTAGTAGAGACAGGGTTTCACCATGTTGCCCAGGCTAACCTCCAACTCCCGCCTCAGCCTCCCTAAATACTGGGATTACAGGCATGAGCCACCACACCTGGCCAACTATCAAATTTTTAAAAGGACAAAATCAGTGAGAAACCTTTTAGAAATATGATTCTAGAAAATAAAGGATGGGAGGAGTAGCACAGAAGCTCTGTGGAGAGGTGAGCCCTGGGAAGACAGTTGAAGACTCTATGATCAACAAGCACCTGAGCCCAAAAAGACAGTCTTGGTTCCCCAGGTCCTGAGACAAAGCAGGAGGAAATCTGGGCACAGAGATACAGCTCTCTAGGCCCTATGCTCCTTCCGATCTCTTCCCCAAATCCTACAGATAGGACTCTAGTAGAGTATACCTGGGGCAACCAGGGGGCCGTGAGGCCTGAGGAGCCAGGATAGAGCTGGCTGCTTCAAAAGATGAGAAGCCATGGGGATGAGGAAAGTGGAAGGACAGTGTGCCTCAGTGTCCAGTCAAAAGTCAGGATTCCTGACCTGTGGTAAGTAAAGAATATCAGTTACCAGCAGGCCCAGGAGCCCCAAGTTATATTAGGACCTCAAGAGGAGAGGAATTCATTCAACTCATACAGGTATGTGATGGCAAAAAACCATGGCTGGGCTCAAGGCTTTAAAGTCTTCTATGAGATTCTTCATGGAGCAACACTCCATCAAAGCCAATATAAAAAGGAGCCGATTTAGCAAATAATTCTTCTTGCTGTGCTTTATGCAAACAATCAGGCCAAGTATTATAAGACTAAAGCTTATTTTGCAAACAGATCAGTCCTTTCATGGTTTGTTTTTAATAAAAATGAAAATTAGAGAGATAAAAGGTATGTTTTAAGAACTATCGTACACCTGTTATTTGATTCTAGTCTCATTATCTGTTTTGGGGGTTTCTCTCTGCAGTTTACACTGATCCTGCTTATTTCTGTGAACCGACCAGTGACCTCTGGCTACAGCTCAGAGGAAATAAGAGGCATAGGTAATGTAAAAATCGGGATCAATATTCTAATTCTGGGCGCATATTGGAATCAGCTGGCAATATCATGCACCCATGTCTTAACAGGTACGATAATAGCCATGAGCCACCTGGGCGCATTGGCAGCCTCAGGGTTTTTTGAAGCTGTCCTCACCCCCTTATTTCATTTGGACAACTCTACTTGTGTTAAAACCCCAGGAACCATCTGTATTTGCGGCCAATCAGTTCACCGATGCTTCCCCTCTAACTGGATTGAAACTTGTACCATAGACTGTGTATACCCGGACATCTCCGTGGTTCCTGGAAATCTCTCTCTTCCAGCATCACTCTACAGGCATCCTATCTTGCCCAAGGTGAAGAGGGCCATCCAGTTAATTCCACTTCCTATGGGACGTGGTGTTATAGCCTGTGTGGAAACCAGAATTGCTGGAATCAAAAAGTCTTCTTGATCTATAACCAACTCTCAAAGGAAACAGCCAACAACATCGAGGCCACGGCTAAAAACCTTAACGGTGTAAGAACAAATGGACTCTTCGGCAGCTGTATCCTCCGAAATCCCCAAGGACTAGCTATGTTAATGGCAGCACAGGTTGGAATTTGCTTAGCCTTAGATAGCAAAAGTTGCATTTGGGTAAATGAATTGGGAAAAGTACAAGATAACAACAGACAATTCCTAAATTGAGCCTCTGCTTGATGGAAACAAGCCTCTCAGGTTTGATGAGGAAGAAACATGGAAATGGTTCTCTGGGTTTTTTTCCCTTTTTAGATCCACTTGTTAATCTCCTACTTTTGCTCCTTTTTGGTCCGTGTCTTCCAACTCTAATCGACTGATTTGTCTCCTCTCACCTTCAGGCTGCCAAGCTCCAGATGATCCCCAGTGAGGGATACCATTCTCTCAATGTTCAAGAGTCACCCTTCTACAGAAGAGCCCTAGACTGCCCATCGGTGGGACACAGCAGAGGTGAATTCCCTGTCTCTGTTATACCTGGCTGGATACTATTTTATTTATTTATTTATTTTTGAGATGGAGTCTTGCTCTGTTGCCCTGGCTGAAGTACTGTCATGCCATCTCAGCACACGGCAACCTCTGCCTCCCGGGTTCAAGTAATCCTTTGCCTCAGCCTCCTGAGTAGCTGGGATTACAGGTGCCTGCCACCACACCTGGCTAATTTTTGTATTTTCTTTTTTTGAGACAGAGTCTTGTTCTGTTGCCCAGGCCGGAGTGCCTGGGGGGGATTGGTCAGAGTGATGGGAAAAACTATAGGGAAAGGACACAAACCTTCTGAAAGGTCAGAAGCATTTGCAGAGTCCCGGGGCAGGTGTTCTATAAACTGAGGCAGAGGGCAGAAAGTAGGTAGAAGGAAGTGTAGGGGAATTTATCTTAAACAGGTTTGTTTACTTATATTGGCCAGGAACTGACCATTGATCATCTGCCCACCTGGCGTTCCCTGAAAGGGGAACAATAAATGTTAATTACCTGCAGGTTGTGTTTGCTCCAGGTTTTCAGCATTGTGCCTGCACTGAATAAAAGCAAACAGCTTCAGCTTTTCTGGCCACTAGAGTGAGGCAGTCGCCTAGCTGCCCTTACGCTGCATACCTGTGTGTGAGTACTCATTGCATTTGTTGGTCGGCCAGGGTTTGTGGGACACACCCAGCAGGTGGTCACCTGTGTGAGAAACGCTGCAATGGATCGCGACGGAGCCCTCAAAAATGAAAGTGAAGTGACTGCCTGGTAAGTAATGGGTGCCCACTCAGGCCGGAGGACGGTGGCGGGATCTTGGCTCATTGCAACCTCAGCCTCCAGGGTTCAAGTTATTCTTGGACCTCAGCCTCCAGAGTAGGTGGAAGGCTATGGGGGATTGGTCAGAGTGGTGGGAAAAACTAGAGGGAAAGGATGCAAACCTTCCAGCTACTCTGGAGGCTGAAGCGGAAGGATCACTTGAGCCCAGGAATTAGAGACACCAGTGAGCTATGATCATGCCACTGCACTCCACCCTGGGAAACAAAGCAAGACCCCATCTCATAAAAAAAAAAAAAAAAAAAAAAAAAAAAAAAAAGCTAAACATGCAACTACCATATGACCTAATATTTACCGTTCTCAGAATTAGCCAACAGAAATGAGAATTTACCTTCACACAAAAGCTTGTACACAAGTGTTTATAGTTGATTTATGCATCCTAGTCCCAAACTGGACACAACCCCCATGCCCTTCAGTGCGCAGATGTCCAGAGGAGTCTGGGGACTGGTGCTTTTTCTTGGAATGTGTAGCTTTCCAGAGAATGAGTTAAGGCGTGTGTTGGGAGCTAGCAGAACTGAGGAGGTCAGTCTAGAGTTGGGCACATCTTGAGCTGAATCTCTAAAGCCTTCAGTTCCTCAGATCTGTTTCCCTCGGAAGCGCTTAGGAAACGGGGCCTCCCTCCATAGGGCAGCTCCCGGGCTGACCCACGGATGCGCCTTGCCCTCTGTTCTCCTACACTTAGAAAAACCTGTGAATAACTCTGGGAGGCCGAGGCGGGTGGATCACGAGATCAAGAGATCGAGACCATCCTGGTCAACATAGTGAAAGCCCATCTCTACTAAAAATACAAAAAAAAAAAAAAAATTAACTGGGCACGGTGGCTCGTGCCTGTAATCCCAGCTACTCGGGAGGCTGAGGCAGGAGAATTGCCTGAACCCCCGAGGCGGAGGTTGCGGTGAGCCGAGATTGCGCCATTGCACTCCAGCCTGGGTAACAAGAGGGAAACTCTGCCTCAAAAATAAATAAATAAATAAATAAATAATAATTTGATGGGTGAAATGACCCATTGTCTGGAAGACCATTTGTGGTGTGGATTTATGGGTGCCTATGTACCATGTGTAGTCACATGTAATCCTGCTCAAAAAGGATAGAACTCCGTTTTGTCAGCTAGCGACTCCAGAATAATCAGACACATGTTCCCCCAAATTACCACAAGATGGCAGCACATGCACACTGCATTTCAAGTTCCGGCAGTGAGCTGAGATTGTGCCACTGCACCACACCCTGACGACAGAGCCAGAAAGTTCGTAAGATTCTTTTTTTCAGTTTTTTTTTTTTTTTTTTTTTGAGACGGAGTTTCACTCTTGTTGCCCAGGCTAGAGTGCAATGGCGTGATCTCCTTTCACTGCAACCTCCGCCTACCGGGTTCAAGCAATTCTCCTGCCTCAGCCTGCTGAGTAGCTGAGATTACAGGCATATGCCACTACACCTGGCTAATTTTGTGTTTTTAGTAGAGATGGGGTTTCTCCATGTTGGTCAGGCTGGTCTTGAACTCTCGACCCCAGATGATCACTTCAGGTGATCCTCCTGCCTTGGCCTCCCAAAGTGCTGGGATTACAGGCGTCAGCCACCATGCTGGGCTTTTTTTTTTTAAGTGGAAAATCCCAAATCCTATCAGAGCATATTTGGCATGTGAAATTTTTTTTTTTTTTTTTTTTTTTTTGAGACAGGATCTCACTCTGTTGCCCAGGCTGGAGTGCAGTGGTGCAATTATGGCTCACTATAGCATCAAACTTTTGGGCTTAAGTGATTCTTTCACCTCGGCCTCCTGAGTACCTGAGACTATAGGCAACCACCACCAGGCCCCACTAGCTTTTAATTTTTTTTTTTTGGAAAAACAGAGTCTCGCTTTGTTGCCCAGGCTGGTCTTGAACTTCTAGTCTCAGGTGACCCTCCTTCCTGGCCTCCCAAAGCACTGGGTTTACAAGCATGAGACCCCATGCCAGACCTAACATCTCTAATTTTTTTTTATTTATTTATTTATTTATTTATTTATTTATTTATTTATTTATTTTGAGATGGAGTCTTGCTCTGTCACCCAGGCCAGAGTGCAGTCACACAATCTCAGCTCACTGCAACCTCTGCCTCTTAGGTTCAAGCGATTCTCCTGCCTCAGCCTTCCAAGTACCTGGGACTGCAGGCACCCGCCACCACGCCCAGCCCTTTTTACTTACTTTAAGAAGGCTGCTAGAAAATTTAGCTGGGTGTGGTGGTTCACACCTGTAATCTCAGCACTTTGGGAGGCCAAGATGAGTGGATTGCTTGAGCTCAGGAATTCGAGACTACCCTGGACAACACGGTGAGACCCCATCTCTACAAAAAAAAATACAAAATTAGCTGGGCATGGCGATAGGTGCCTGTAGTCCCAGCTACTCAGGAGGCTGAGGTAGGAGAATCACCTGAGCCTGGGAAGTTGAGGCTGCAGTGAGCTGTGATCGAGTCACTGCTGCAAAACAAACAGAAAAACAAGTAAATTGAGATTACATTTAGGGTTCATTATGTTTCTGTTGGGCAGTGCTGGCCTCTAGAAAGAAGATGAAGGGAACGTGTAGAGAGGAGAGGTGGATGAGGGCATTTAGCTGACGACACACCAGGCAGCACAGAGGAAAGGCTGCAGGGCTTGGCAAGAGCTGGAAGAAGGGCTCGGAGAGGCAGAGGCACAGGTGTATGGGACAAGTCTCTCAGGCTGAGGGGTCTCCAGGGAGACCTGGGATTTCTGTGGTCCCTGGAATAAGCAAAGAAGTCCCGATTTTTTTCAGTGGTGGCAAGGGGAAGGTCCAGTTCTAGCCAGAGATCTCCATTTATGCTGGAGAAAAGAAATATTTTGAAGGAAGCACCCTACAGGATTTGCTAATGAATTGGAGGTTGGAAATGAAAGTAAAAGAATCAAGGATGGGCCAGGCGCAGTGGCTCAGGCCCGTAATCCCAGCCCTTGAGGAGGCTGAAGCAGGCAGATCAGTTGAGGTCAGGAGTTTGAGACCAGCTTGGCCAACATGGCAAAACCCCATCTCTACTAAAAATACAGAAATTAGCTGGGCATGGTGGCACTTGCCTGTAATCTCAGCTACTCGGGAGGCGAAGCAGGATAATCTCTCGAATCTGGGAGGTGGAGGTTGTAGTGAGATGAGATCGTGCCACTGCACTCCAGAATGAGTGACAGAGTGATATTCCATCTCAAAAAAGAAAAAGAAAAAGAATGAATGGTGACTAAAGATTTGACCTGAGCCGCTTAAAGGGTGGAGCTGCTGGTTAGGGGGAAGACCGCAAGTAGAATGTTTGGGAGGCAGGGATTGCACATGAGTTCATACTGAGATGTTAGGTTTGAGAGACCTGCTAGACCACCTGCTAGATTTTTGAGTAGGCAGTTGTCTGATAGGGCTCTGCAGCTCACTGGCGATATGAGGCTGCGGGTATAAGTCTGAGGTTTGGCCGGGCACAGTGGCTCAACCTGTAATCCCAGCACTTTGGGAGGCTGTGGTGGGTGGATCATGAGCTCAGGAGTTCGAGACCAGCCTGGCCAACATAGTGATACCCCATCTCTACTAAAAATACAAAAGTTAACTGGGCATAGTGGCATGTGCCTGTAGTCCCAGGTACTAGGGAGGTTAAAGCAGAAGAATTGCTTGAACCCAGGAAGCAGAGGTTGTGGCGAGCCAAGATGGTGCCACTGCACTCCAGCCTGGGTGACATAGCGAGACTCCATCTCAAAAAACAAACAAACAAACAAACAAAAAAAACTGAGGGTCTACAGCACATAGATGGTATTTAAAGCTATACAACTTGACTTCTGAGATTAAAAGAATTATAGCTCAATCCACAGTCAACTCCCTATAGCTTGCTGAAAAACAGTGGTATAACTAACTCCCAATCCACTTTTAAGAGTGCATTTTTTTGCAGATGTATATTCCTATAGACATTTGGCTCAATCTAATATTACAGTCAATGTGTCTGCCCTAGACAAACGTGAGCCAACAAAGTATAAGAATTCAGAAGCCAGACAGGGTTTCTGCATTTCATAGTGTAGAAATCCTATAGCTGCTCATCAAGAGCTTTCTACCCTCTGCTCACAAGTTGCTCTTGCCTCATTGCGGACACTTCCCGACATACCTACAATTTTGTTTACGATGAAAAAAATGTTTGGGTAAGAGTCTCTTGAGCTGAAACTTACACCCCTGCAGCTGAGGAAAGCTGTTCTTCTGCATTAGGCCAACAGATGAGCAAGCAGTTCTCCCATCTAGACCCAAGGCTTAGCAGCCTCTGTACAGAAATTACCCTAGAGCATACACTGAAAAAAAAAAAAAAAAAAAAAAGGTGGGGAGGGAATTGCATCAGATGAATCCTTCTTCCCCTTTGTGGTTCCTTGCTTGGCTAAGAAAAACACAAATCACCCTTTAACCCTGGATTGGTTCTGCATTCCACTTCCCTCAGGAACCCTACACCTTCTGACACAACTGATACCACGATTTCCTTCCCCTCCTGGACGTCACACAGAAGGCATTTAGAAATAGAAATTCCACTTGACCCAGCAACCCCATTACTGGGTATATACCCAAAGAACTATAAATCATTCTACTGTAAAGGCACATGCACACGTATGTTCATTGCAGCCCTGTGTACAATAGCAAAGACCTGGAACCAACCCAAATGCCCATCGATGATAGACTGGACAGGGAAAATGTGGCACATATACGCCATGGAATACTACATAGTCACAGAAAATGATGAGTTCATTTCCTTTGTAGGGACTTGGATGAATCTGGAAACCATTGTTCTCAGCAAACTGACACAAGAACAGAAAAACACCGCATGTTCTCAGTCATAGGCAGGTGTTGAACAATGGGAACACATGGACTCAGGGAAAGGAGCATCACACACTGGGGGCATTTCTCTTGTAAATACTTTACAGCATGTTTCTCTAACTGATAAGAATATTTAAAAAATAAAAACACATGCCATCAAACACCCGGTAAGGCTAACAACGATCCCTTTAATATCACCTAATATCTGTCTGTATATTTTTTTCAGATGGAGTCTCGCTCTGTCACCCACACTGGAGTGCAGTGATGCTATCTCAGCTCACTGTAACCTCGGCCTCCTGGGTTCAAGCAATTCTCCTGCTTCAGCCTCCTGAGTAGCTAGGACTACAGGTGAGTGCCATGATGTCTAGCTAATTTTTTGTATTTTTAGTAGAGGCAGGTTTTCACTGTGTTAGCCAGGATGCATATTTATTTATCTGATTTTCTCAAAGATATCTTTTTACAGTTGGCTTGTTTGAATCAGGATTAGAAAGGTCCATATATTGCATTTGGTTGTTATATCTCTTAAGTCTCTTTTATTCCATAGCAATCTTATATCCCTTTTTGTTTTAATGCCACTGACTTTTTGGAAAGGATGAATCAGTTGCCTTCTAGAATGTTCTGTGTTCTGAGTTTGGCTTTTTGCTTCCCATCGTGTCATCTGCATCCTATGGTACTCTGTCCCCAGTATTCTGTGTGCATTGGAAAGTCAGGTCTAAAGGCTTGTTCAGATTCGGTTTTTGAGGTGAGAAGAATTGATAGGAGATCAATAGCTTTTGCTACCTGTCCAGATGCCTCCTTGTGCATTTGGTGGAGCTAGGGCCAAATGCTCAGCAGGTTCAGGTGATGTAAGCCTGATCCCTTCATCATAAAGTTCCCTATAAACCTTTTACATCATGGTTCTGGCATCTCCTGATGATCATTATCTATATTCATTGTTTCATGCATGCCTAAAAAATGATTTTTAAAAATTCTATCACTCCTTTGCTTTTACCAATTAGAATTCTTCTATAAAGGAAAACTTTTCCTTATCAATGACTGGTGTTTTTAAAATATAGCTGATGTTGGGTGTGGTGGCTTATGCCTGTAATCCCAATACTTTGGGAGGTCCAGGCAGATGGATCGCTTTGAGCCCAGGAGGTCGAGATCAGCCCGGGCAACATGTTGAAACCGCATCTCTACAAAAAAAATACAAAAGGTAGCCAGGCCTGGTGGTGCATGCCTGTGGTCCCAGTTACTCAGGAGGCTGCGGTGGGAAGATCAACTGAGCTTGTGAAGTCAAGGCTGCAGTGAGGTATGATTGCATTACTGTACTCAGGGGCAACAGAGTGAGCCCCTGAAGAAAGAAAGGGAAGAAAGGAAGAAAGAAAAGAGGAAGGAAGGGAGGGAGGGAGAGAGGGAAGGAAAGAAAGAAAGAAAAAAAAAGAAAGAGGGAGGTGGGAGGGAGGGAGACAGGGAGGGATGGAAGGGAAGAAAGACAAGGGGGGAGAGAGAGAGGAAAGAAGGTAGGGAGCTGATACAGAAAGGTTCGATAAATGCTTTACTCTGTCCATTTATTTATCAATTGTCAAAAAACTGGCCTATTACCCAGAAAACTCCAGTGGTGACAAATGCAGGGGACTTGCTGTTGTGATCATTCTGTAATTGTGTCATTATAATATGCATATTGTAAACATTGGTTTTGGTGCTAAAGCTGTCCCATTGTAGGTGAGTTGAAGTCTCTTCACATCGGTTCTGGGTTCCTTTAACTCCATCCTATTAGTGCTTGATACCTTCCTTGCTTTCTTTATTTTATTTAGTAATACTATTTTTATTATACTTTAAGTTCCAGGGTACATGTGCAAAACATGCAAGTTTGTTACACAGGTATACACATGCCATGGTGGTTTGCTGCATCCATCACCCTGTCATCTACATTAGGTATTTCTCCTAATGCTATCCCTCTCCTAGCCCCCATCCCCTGCTATCCCTCCCTTAGCCCCCCACCCCCTGCTATCCCTCCCCTAGCCCCCCACCCCCTGCTATCCCTCCCCTAGCCCCCCACCCCTGCTATCCCTCCCCTAGCCCCGCATCCCCTGCTATCCCTCCCCTAGCCCCCCACCCCCTGCTATCCCTCCCCAATCCACCCACCCCCTGCTATCCCTCCCCTAGCCTCCCACCCCCGCTATCCCTCCCCTAGCCCTCCACCCCTGCTATCCCTCCCCTAGCCCCCCACCCCCTGCTATCCCTCCCCTAGCCTCCCACCCCCTGCTATCCCTCCCCTAGCCCCCCACCCCCGCTATCCCTCCCCTAGCCTCCCACCCCCTGCTATCCCTCCCCTAGCCCCCCACCCCCGCTATCCCTCCCCTAGTCCCCCACCCCCTACTATCCCTCCCCTAGCCCTCCACCCCCAATACCTTCCTTGCTTTCAACATGATAAGCGGTCCAGTGCTCACCTCATTTATGCCCTGCCCTAGACTTAGGAAAATCTATTTTCCTGCTGGTCCAGAGTGAATCATGTGCCATTCCGCAGCTTCCCTGTTCCTTGGACTTACTTGGGTCACTGTCACTGGCTAGGAGCTGTGGTCATTAGAAGTTGGTTTTGTTGGCTGAGCAGAGTGGCTCATGCCTGTAATCCTAGTACTTTGGGAGGCCAAGGCAGGTGGATCAATTGAGTCTAGGAGTTTGACATCAGCCTGGGCAACATGGCAAAATCCCATCTCTATAAAAAATACAAAAATTAGCCAGGCGTGGTGGCATGCACCTGTAGTCCCAGCTACTTGTGGGATTGAGGCAGGAGGATTGCTTGAGTCCAGGAGGTCGAGGTTGCAATGAGCCATGATCATACCACTGCGCTCCAGCCTGGGTGACAAAGTGAGACTTTTCTCTAAAAACAAAGACAAACCCCAACTCTCCTGCAGTCTCTTCAGTGCTCTGGGGCAGAAACATAACAGGCTTGGTAAGGGCAGACTGTGGTTCAGGAAAGGTCACTCAGAAAGTAGGTGGTCACAATCCTGAGTGGAGTACATGGGTGGAAGGGAAGAGAGCTTTCGTTTGTGAGGGTTTGATCAAGCTATAACACTGATCATTCTTGGCATCACATTTTCATCTGCATAGAGGGAATCAGGCTGGGCAAACAGTGGCTCAAGGAAAGTGCTTTGGGTAATGTAAAGATGAGAGTAATTCAAGGCTACTATTCCTGTCTTTTTTGTTTTTGTTTTTTTTTTTAGATGGAGTTTTGCTCTTGTTGCCCAGTTGGAGGGCGGGATCTTGGTTCATTGCAACCTCCGCCGCTCAGGTTCTAGTGATTCTCCTGCCTCAGCCACCCAAATAGCTGAGATTACAGGCACCCACCACCACGTCCGGCTAAGTTTTAAAAATATTTTTAGTAGAGATGGGGTTTCACCATCTTGGCCAGGCTGGTCTTGAACTGACCTCAAGTGATCTGCCCTCCTTGGTCTCCCAAAGTGATAGGATTACAGGCATGAGCCCTGTACCTGGCCAAAAACTATTGTGCTTGGAGGTGAAAAAAAAGGTACCTCCCCTCTCTCCTGGTACCGGGTATGGATATGGCACCAGTATGCTGGTCCCGGCTGTGGACATGGCACCAGCAGAAACACTGATTGGGGTCTGAGCAGCAACATGGCCTCATGCTTACCCCTTGGATTCTCTATGGCAGGGCATCACCAGGGGTCCAAGAGAGTTTCATATACTTCCAACCAGCAAGAAACACAATGATGGCCTCTAAAGTCCAACCACCCATCTAGCACCAGGCTAGGTGCTATATACTTATCTCTAACCCACACCATAACTCTGCCAATTTGAGACTATTACAGCATTTTCCAGAAAAAGAGACTGAGGCCAGGCGTCGTGGCTCATGCCTGTAATCCCAGCACTTTGGGAGGCTGAGGCAGGAGGATCACTTGAGCCCAGGAGTTCCAGATCAGACTGGGTAATATGGCAAAACTTCATGTCTACAAATTTTTTAAAAAATTAGCTGGGCATGGTGGCATGCACCTGCAGTCACAGCTACTCAGGAGGCTGAGGCGGGAGGAGGGCTTGAGCCCCAGGCGTCAAGGCTGCAGTGAACCACAATCATACCACTGCAGTCAGGCCTGGGTGACCAGCATGAGATCCTGTCTCAGAGAGAAAGAGAGATTGAGAGACTGACACTCAAACAGATTCACATTGGTGGAGGCAGGATTGCAACACATTGCATGCTGCAGCTGTTGAGCTTCATGAGGGGTAACCACATACGCACTACAGAGCCTCCAGGGCCTAGCCATGACATGGTGAATTCTACCTAGTAGGTATTTCTGCATTATGTAAGATCACGAGCAATTCCTGTACCCCACGGGGAAACTCGGAACTCAACAATACATGCTGCATCACTTCCCTGCCCATACTTGACCTACTCCAGTACAGGATTCACCGCCAGAGTCACAGCAAAGCAGTCACAGCGTCTGCATTTTTGGCATCGATAGTCATTGGCCTCCTTGTTTCCTAATGTTTCCCAAACTTAAAAAAAATTAATTAGAAGAGGTACAAATATTTTGGGGACTCCTCTTTGAGCCAAAGTCATCTCACTAAGATTCTACCAATGTGCTAGTGGGGCTGTTGGTTCAGACTCAACACACTTTGATGTCAACAATGAAATGCTTTCAGAGGGGAAGGTGGGAGGCACCTGTAGTCTCAGCTAGCGTGGTGGCACTCCCTGTAGTCCCAGCTACGTGCAGGACTGCGGTGGGAGGATTGTTCAACACACGGACACGGGGGAATCTTCCAGGACCCACCTACCAATTCCCAGAAGGAACAGCTGGGAGTTCACGCACCACGTGCATCTCTAGAGTACTTCCTAAGAGAAGAGAGGCTGAGGCCTGGTGCACAAATTCTGTATCTCTGGCAGAGCCCTCACATGAAACTGCCTTTGCAAAATTAGACAGAGAACTCTGACATAGCTGACCTTTCTGTCCTCTAACCTCCAAGCTGTTCTTGGTCATTTCTGGGCATAAGCCAAACTAACTCTGGGAGAAATTTAGTTTATAGTTTCACCTTAGCCTATCATAGCCCTTCTCAAAATTAAATCACCTTTGTAAAATGAATGAAAGGCTGCAAGTTTAGGAGAATGAGCGGGACGTGAATTCTGCTAAGATATAGGGAAAGAGTAAGCAGCCACTGTTCCGACGGTCACAGGATTTGCAGCTTCCCCAGTTTCTCTTGTAGATCACATCACTATTGTAGAACCTAAGGCTGGACTTTACAGACGTCTTTTCTGACTTCTGCATTTCTGACAATTGGCTAACTCCACCCAGACTCATGACTCGTGACTAACCAGTCCTCTGGCACACCCACCCAGAGACAAACTGTTTTCC